ATCTTGCCTTGGGCAGCTACCCAGGGCAATTCTCTTGTGGCTCCGCCACTGCCACTTACCAATCATGAATATAGATACAAATATGAATTTGCCTCGATAAAAAAAACTCATGCATATCCGCTAAAATCAGACAAGGAAACACATGCAGATGCAAGATGGATATAAGAACAACATATAAAATAGAAAAAAATAGATAGTTCCTTCGTACCAGAGAGTTCATAAAATGTGTTCATTCTATTTAAAAGCTAATATTAGATCTCTTTATCATTAAAATTAGTCTCAAATCTATTAATCTAAGTACTAGAACAATTGTAGCAACATATATTCGAATATTTCGAATATGGATCCAAATCCGAATATTTCATTATATTTCGTATATAGCCATATCCTATTGGTTATAGATTTTAGTAATTATATCCATACCCTAAGGGATACAGTTAGGTATACTTTCACGGATACAAATATGGTTGTGCATCCCTATCTCTAAGGAATCTTATGGTCCACACAAGATCTTAATCATCCAATCCGAAGTAATGATCCCTAGCACATGTTTGATACATAGCCATTAAAAAGAACCTCAATCTTGTTTATCATTATATTCACCCCTTTTGGTTTTATAAATAAGACAAACTTTTTCATATTAGACATCCACACAAAAAAATACCTTATTTAAATCACATCTAAGTTATTCTTTTTTTTTAGAGAACAAATTTTATCAGCACACTTGCATTCAAAAGAGGATGATCTAATCCATTCAAGAGACAGATAATTTGAAAACTCTGTTACCGTCAAGTTTAAATCATCTCACACGCTCAATATGTGTTATGATAATATTTGTTTTCCTTTCCTCTCCCTGATCACCTAAAAGAAAAGGAAAAGAAGGAAGGGGGAAAAAGAAGAACGAAGGAATTGGAATACAATATCTATAGCTGGCCAAGTACAGGGTAGAGACCAACTGGCTGCGCCGGCCTGCTCTGGCTGCGCACTGTGGCGGAATCGTAATAATCACGGAACCAAGGGGTATTATCGTCACACAAGCTATCCCCGCCATATAACCGGGGAGCTCACGGGGCAGTTGTGGCTTTTCGCTGTAACAAAGGACTCAGAATCAGAATCAGGCTACGAATAAAGTTCGTCTTTTTCCTCCCCCAATTTCTCCCCTCCTTCCATCAAAATTCTAGGCTTTTCTCATATCGATATTATTCCACTGAAATTAGCAATTAATTCGAAACTTCACAAGTACCTGATCTTCTCCATGGCACGATGATGTTCTTCTTTTCCGTAAATGTCTTTTTTTGGATTTTTTTCCTGATCTGATACGTTTTTTTATTGATTAAGGGTTTTTGAGATCGATTTTGGGGATTTTGAGGTGGATTGTGATGGAGAGGTCGTTAATGGAGGCGATGATGGGGACTCAAGGAGGAGGAGGGGATTCGATTCTCGCTTCAGTGAAATTTGCGGTTTTGCCAATTGCGAAGGTTTTCGCAATGTGTTTCATGGGGTTTTTGATGGCTTCGAAGTATGTTAATATTTTGCCGGCCAATGGGAGGAAGCTGTTGAATGGGGTGAGTAAACTGTTTTGGTGGTTTTATTTGGCTTTTATGAAATATTTATCTATTCACGTAGGTGAAAATTATGTTTGGGAAAATTAAGGTCAGCGTGTGGAGAAATTTGAGCCTGATGCCCAATAGTAAACGCTAAAGACGAAATAAAAATCTAAGGTTCATTAGGAAGATTTCAAAGTTTGTAATTTCAATATCCCAGCATGACTTTTTACTTGACTGACAAAAAAATTTCAACTTTTAACTTCTGATTTTTGTGTTGCCTTGTTATCCGTTTTTATAAAGTAATCAGTGTCTGACTTACGAATAGAGAAATCCCATGCTATTTAGTTTTATAGTAAGAAAGATCTTTGGTGTAGGATGTGAGTAAATCAGTATGTTACTTTGAGTAGATAGAGGAAAATTTTATGAGACCTGAATTTTTCTTTTTTCAAAATAATATTGTCTCAAAAAATAAAATAAAAAACAAAATTTTGAAATGCATGGATCCTGTGGATGAGAAATGTATTTTTATGACGAGGAGGGATGATAAATTCATATATTTGGCAATTTGGAACATGAATAAGGTAATGAGTATAATACCATAAAACTCCTTCCGCACTGTCACACAAGTACAAGGTGATCATACTGGTTCCTTGGCATTTTAGGACTTTCACAATTAAAGTTGCTTTTTCATGTTTCATACCTCTGACTATGAAATCTGTACAATTTAGTCTGATGCATAATTAATTAATTATACCTTTGCACCTTCTTCAATTCTCAAATACTCATTTCCTTCTTATATTCTTCTTATGTTTTTAATGATTTCTGTCAGACGCATTGGAAATTTCTATGGAATTATTATTACTAGGATTTGTTTTAATGTTCATGTGTAGTATATTTACCAGTATAACAAAAAAGGCAATGAGGTAGGACAATAAAGACTAGCCCTGTCAACAAAAAGCAAGAAAGACATGCGCGTTGAACACACTCCTTTCATTTACAACCAGAACATTATGTTCTTACAGAAGCTATACTTTCACCTAGTCTGTTAATAAAATGGCTCTATATCGTAATACACGCACGAATACACAGAGCACTAAGGATGGACTCGATCACAGCTTCCGTTTAAAACTAAACGGTTGGGTTCACATCCCACATGCTTAAAGTTAACTGCAGAATACCAACCTCTTATACACCTGTGTAACATAATCATATGTATGTGTGTTTGTGCGCACGCGCAGTTGTGCATGTCTATGTCTGTGTGTGTCTTTTCTCAAAAAGTATTTTTAATTTACATGCAGGTGCATGTGCATGTGGAAAATTCTGATTCCCATAATGATATAAGTAGATAATTCTTCATTGTTCTGATCCTTAACTTTTTTTTAATGGTGTCCTATAGATTCTACATGATTAGCTATCTTACTTCCTAATAGCTTTTTCTAATGTATTTTACAGCTTGTATTTTCCCTTCTCCTTCCCTGTCTGATTTTCTCTCAACTTGGACGAGCAATCACTGTGCAGAAATTGCTAGAATGGTAAGACTATTTCTCGGTCCATTATATGTAGTTTATTAGTTTAAAAGAAATAAAATGAGTTGAATTGTTTGTTTTTTTTTGAAATGTATGATTGCATTTGATTCTTTTTCTTATTTTGTTTCTACGAGATGAAGGATTTCCAATATTAGATTTCATCATTTTACAGTTTGGCTAGGTAATTGCCATTCTATGACAGTTTTGAGGGCTTCTCCTTGATCGCAAAAGCTTAAACCAAATAATTAAAATGGAGACCCACATGTAGACACCCTACCTGCTTACAGTTGTCTTATCTAGGAATGTGACAATGTCATTGAGGTGGACTACCGGTCATGGAACTTGGTTAACTATGTGGAGAGTTCCCGACTACGAGTCACAATTCACAGGTTGTACTAATCTAATAAGAAATGGATTGAATTGTGGTGATGGTGCTAATGGATTCTCCCTAGCGATTGCAAGGAAATTCTACATATTGATGATTGGTTGTCTGTATTTTTGTGATACAGAAGACTCTTGCAGGGTTAAAATTTTGGTGTCCATTTTTTAACCCTCCTTTACTACTGAACTAATCAACTCTTGATTAATTTGTATCACATGTCACAGTGTATTCTAAATCACCATATGTACAATTTTTATCTAATGTCACTGCAAATAAGAAGCTACAATGGGATTTCTTTGGAAAACTATTTACAATAACTTCACCCTCATTTAACCATTGATTTTTTGTGGAGCTCCTTTGGGTTTCTTCATAGATGGGGGTTTCTTCTGTTGCATTGTTTGTCGATTTTTTCTTCGTGCCTATTAGTTGGCCGAGTTATATTTTGACATAATTATGATTTTGTCTGGGTTTTTAGTATCTAAATTGGATTATATTCATCTCAAGAAGTAGTTACTATATGTTGGCTTTCTATGTTGCATTACGCAAGCAAGATACAAGACTAATGGTTTCAATTTGCAGGTGGTATATTCCAGTCAATGTTGTAATGGGTACAATATCAGGTTCATTAGTTGGACTTCTCGTTGCGTTAGTTGTGCGCCCTCCACATCCATACTTCAAATTCACCATTATACATATTGGAATTGGTAGGCAGTTATTTATTGTACTATACGATGTTGAACCAAAATTTGCTGATTTGCGCTTGTCTATTCTGAATATCTATATGCAGTTAAGTCCATCTATGTTTTTCCGATGGCTAATGAATATCTCTGTGTAATTCTTTGATTCCTTAATGCATGTCCATACCGTGACTCTGTGGTCCCAAGATTTTTTGAATCAATTTTCTTATAGGTTTAAAGGCTTAGTTGGGTATCAAAATCTAAAACCAAACCACATAGATGTGAACCACGAATCTAAATAGTCTGGAAAGAAAAATCATAGATTTTGGAGATTTTTCTCCCTATGATAGTCGCAAGAGAACAATCGGATTAAATAGCATTTATCATTTGCAGTTTATATAGATATACGTGGTCTATTCTTTCTGCTGCATTCATGATATTTCAATTTTATTCATTTATGATTTTCTAATTTATTAGTTCATGTTCAGAGCTTCACATTTTTTAGCCGTTGTTTATCTAATGTTGCTTTCTGGATGAAAAGTCATGACCTTTTATAGGTCTTCAATATAAATTTGACCAGTTGCTTCCTTAAAGAAATGCATAAGAGATCATCTTCATTCTATATCTTGTGGCTACATGCTCTCCACACTTTGTTGTGTCTGCCTTTTATATTTAATTTATTTTTCTTTTGTCTGTATAACTTGATATTGTTGTGTCTGCCTGTTATTTATTTTTCATTTGTATGTATAATTTGATTTCGGAATGCCATTCCATTTAGCCGTTGTCTATCTAATGTTACTTTCAGGATGAAAAATCATAACCTTTTATAGGTCTTCAATATAAATTTGACCAGTTGCATCCTTAAAAAAATGCATAAGAGATCATCTTCATTCTATATCTTGTGGCGACATGCTCTCCACACTTTGTTTTGTCTGCCTTTTATTTATTTTTCATTTGTATGTATAATTTGATCTCGGAATGCCATTCCATTTGGCCTGTTAGGCTTAATTTTTTTGTCCTCAGAGGTGAATGCAGTTTTCAATAGCAAATAATATCATCTTATAATTTCTTCTTCATTATTAATTAATTAATTAGTTAATTAATTAAATTTTCTTTTGTCTGTATAACTTGATTTTGGAATGCCATTCCATTTAACCTGTTGTCTTAATTATTTCCTCAGAGGTGAATGCGGTTTCCAATAGCAAATAAAGTGATCTTATAATTTGTTTGGACTATGTTCCGGTTTTGGTGACTTTGGAGGCTTTCTCATTTGTTGCTTGAGCTTAAGATGCATGGCCAGAAAATGTAGATTTATTTTTTGACCTTCTTGTAAATAGTTTTTTTGGTTAGGGAATTGGTACCACATGTGCAACTGACACTAGGTTTGTAGATGTCATAAAATTTGATTCATTCTTTGTGCATTTTCTTGAATTTGACCACAGTTTTTATTACAACATCATATCAAATTTTCTTTGTATTTGCTAATATTTTGCAAGATCACATAAATTCATGATCATAATTCGCAGTTGTTAGATAACAAAATTGTTAGTAAGAATAAAAATGAGTACTACTCATTTTGATGGGAAGGATCGTAGAAGATGACTGATGTGGTGATTGATGATGATGTGGAATAACTTTATTGATTTCTTTGCAGGTAATATCGGAAATATACCTTTGGTCTTAATTGCAGCTCTATGTCGAGATGAATCCAACCCATTCGGTGATTCGGATAAATGTAGCCAAGATGGGAATGCTTATATTTCATTTGGTCAATGGGTAGGTCATACCACTTAACTTCGCTAACGAAGTCTTCCCTTATCTTGCTTATGCAATACTTCAATAAGCAGCATAGATTTTTTTGACGATTATTGGTTCATGTGTACTTTGCGTTCTCTAACAGTCAACACAAAACTTAAGCTAGAGTTTCAGGTATCTGAAATCTTATTGTCAATGTTTAATATGTTTATTAACTTTCATTCCTTCGGTTAAGTAAAATATAAAACAGTTGCATTTTCTAACACTTGCAATGACTCTGAGACCTGCTTTCATCATCCATTGGACTCTCATTTTTTTTGTTTTGAGTGCAACAGTAATTTTTGTGAAATAATTGCTGCTTGTTTTCCTTCTTTGAGATTCCTTTTTATTTATTTTTCCATTACTACGATTGCCACTGCTGGTCTTTTATGTGTTCCATGGATGTGCGAGGCAACAAAGTTAGCTTCTCCCACGTGAATCTAGTCAGTAAAATGACTCAATTGAATACTATAAATTGTTAAGAGAGCTACGGGACACACTAATGAAGATCGGACTATTCTAAGTCTCTTGCTTTCCTTATTGTATTGAGATTCTAATTCATGGATTTCTTTTCTGTCTTGTTTTGGTTGGTTTCATGTCTATCATCGTATTTTGACTTCTCAAATTGTAGTATTGGAGTTCAGTTATTTGTTTATATCTGTTGTACATAGCATAAAACTGAATATATTGTGAGAAGAATTAAAACTTTCTTTTGGTTGTTCCTAGTAAATCCATTTAAATCATGACTTGTAATTGGAACGTCATAGTTCTCTTTTATTCTAACCTATAACATTGAGGATTGAGTAAATCACTTGGGTTTGATGAATTCCCCTTGTTCTCTCATTTTCTATTCTACTTTTCCCTCACCTTCTCCTCTCTTGTTTCATCTTTAATTTTTCTATGGAAACTGGAAGAGAAATGGAGATTTAAGGGGGACACTCATGAATTTTGATAAGTTTCATAGTTTGATTCAAATGTTTTTCTAAGCTTGATGCAGGCTTATATTTCCGTTCTTAAGCCTTGCATTATCTTAGCCGCAAAATGTCTTAATAGTCACTGAAAATTTCTTTATTTTTCATTATTATAATTTATGATACTCTTGACTAGGGCCATGTTTGTTTTTTCTATAGTAAGGGTGCTATCTTGAAATAGTCTGGATCCACCTTTTTATCTTATGATTGCTTTTTTATCTGGACTGGACTATTTGTGAGGAGAGACTACTTAACACCTAAAAGGGGGACTAAAGCAAACCCACCTCACCCCCACCTTTACAAGCCGGGTACTAATCACCTTGGGGGATTAAGATTTTCTAACCAAAAAGCCTGTATCCTTTAATTCTACAAAATGTTCTGCGTTTTTATTGTATCCATCTTTTATTTTTCTGCAGTTCTTTCTTCATAAAATTTTCTCTGCTGCTCTTTTTTCGCTTCTCATTTTCCATGGGGTGTTTTGTCCCCTCTTCTTCTATGTATTGGGGAGACATGTACAAGCCTGCACGTGTAGGCCTGCACATACATTCTGCAAATTTGCCAAGTGGAAACTACTGAATTCTAAAATGTTATTAATTTTTATGCACTTTGGTCCCATTTTGTCATTTAAGAATGATATTCTAGGTTGTCTTAAGAAGAATGTTCCAATTTTCAATCATTATCTATGCAGGTAAAATGTTTAAAAACGTAACCTCTTTATTTGGACTCTCATTGGAGTTTAAATTTCCAATGCTGATATGTAAGTGATATGTTTGTTGACTTGAGGGTAAGAACGTGATTTTGGAAAATATCATTTGGTCAAATTTTGATGTTTTTGTCAAACATGCATTAGTACAATATTAGCTGAGTTGAGGGCAACAATGTCACTTTGGTTATGACATTAGTCCGAAGGTGCATAATCCCCCTAAAAATGAACACTAGTATGGATTATTTTAAGTCAGTCCAAGTGTTAGTCCGTGCATTAGTCCGAAGGTGCATAATCCCCCAAGTGTTAGTCCGTGCACAAACATTAAACTGGACTAAAATAGTCCCAGGATAATTCAATCCCTGGATTATAGTCCAGGTGTTATAATGCCTGCTAGTCCAAAGATAAAAAACATACGTGGCCTAAGTAAATTAACTCACCTGAAATGTTATCGTATTATAATAAATATCTTTTCCATTATGACTGAATTTTTGCACAAAGGTCATTCTTTTGTGGAAAACTATAAGTTTTCTGATCAGAATTTGGTCTTCATGGCAGGTTGGTGCAATCATTCTATATACTTATGTCTTTCAAATGCTCTCCCCCCCACCTGGAGAAACCTTTGATGGTATTGATGAGGAGAAACTTCCAACTAAGGCACCTCTTGATAATAGTACTCATAAGCGACTCCCGTCTAAGGTCCCAGTGAAACATACTGCACCTGAACAAGTGCCTTTGCTGAAGCCAGAAGTGTCTGAAGTCATTGGGCTAGAATCTTCGAAAAGTGGAAAAGTAAGAAATGGTTTTTGTATATATTGTTGCCGTGATATCATGAGAAGGAAAATCTTTATTGCATATTAGATTTCATATTTGTGCCAAATGCATTGTCTATTTGATTCAGATGAGAAACAAGTCATGCCTTTTCTTCAGTTTCCCGATGTACTTTCTTTCCTTTTCTTTTTCACTGTAAAACTAAGAACTATGATTAATGGAGTTCAACCCCAAATCGCTGGAGTTCAACCTCCAACACAATGAATAAAACTCTAACATCATACACTGGTTAATTTACACAAACCTTTTATTAACTTGACCTAGTACTCACCCTTAGGAGGCAAGGATGGGTGAGATATGGTTGCATGGTTACTTCTTTATTATAGAGTTTCTCGAGTACAATTTTCTTGTTAGTGGTCTTGCATTCTTCTGTAGCCAGGTATATAATTTTTTTAATGTTCTTAATGCAGATAATTGATCGGTTATACTACCTTATTGAGAAATTGAAGATAAAGCAAATAATGCAGCCCCCTATTGTGGCATCTGTAAGTAATATTTCGAAAAACTATTTGTTTCTTCCTCTAATAGAATCTATTGATATTAGTTTCCAGTTTTGTCCTTGCAACAGATTCTGGGTATTGTAATTGGTGTTGTGCCCTTCTTGAAGCACCTGATCCTTACTGACGATGCCCCATTGTTCTTTTTTACAGATAGCTGCCTAATTCTCGGGTAATGCTAAATAGTGTAATTTCTGTTAATCTAAAACCATCCTTTTTTACTCGGATTTGAATGATTTTCATCTCCTGATAAATTATCCTGCATAAGCCCTATGGAGTTCTATAATTTATATGGCCAACTATTATGGAGAAGCTAATCAATGTTGATTAGAATACAGGGGGAAAATATGCGAGAATGCTTTATAACCTTTAGAATGTTATTCATCTGGTCCTTATCTTGCACTTTTACTTCAGGGAAGCCATGATTCCGTGCATTTTGCTGGCTTTGGGTGGTAATCTGGTTGACGGTGAGTCTATCATATCTAATTTTTTCCCCTTCCCTTTCCTTTTTTCTTTAGTACCAGACACACACTATCATCCTTCCTATTAATTCCTTCATTGGCAAGTTTAGTTGAAGCCCTGCAGTGGTCATGATTAAAAGTGAAAATTGTACCTTATTGGTTGGTTTCATATCCATTTATGCTTCTAATGCAACATATTGATAGACAACATTGATAATCACGCTAGTAGTAGAACATAAGAAGGAAAGGAAATAAGCAGTGGAAAGCATATTAACCTCAAATTCATTAGTAAAAGATGTTGCTTCGGGTAAGTTTCCAGAAAACTACCATAAAATATCAGCGGTTTTGAAGGAAACTACTCTAAACTACTTTTATTTAGGAAAACTTTCACAATTGTTTTTTTTTTCAGTTAACTGCCCATAGAGAAAGTCATCACGTTATAAGCATACAATGTTCCTGGAATTTTTCCCCCTTAACTAGTTTATATAAGCACCTTCACTCACTTTTCCCCAATTATAAATTAAGTGTTTAGTAACTGTCTCAATAACACCGTAAGAAGGGTTTTCTGCTGATTTCAGAACTTGATGGTAGTTTTCTCCAATAACTCTACTTTAGAATAGTTTCCAGCAAAACCTGTAATTAGTTGATGGTTTTTTTCCTTTTCCTTTTTGTGGAAATATACCTTTGGATAATAACTCATAAGGGCATCCAGAGACAGGTTGTAATTAATTAGCATATACTTCTTCAAAGCGTTAAGCAAACTTGGAGAGTTCAAAAGCTTAAAGCATAGTAGTAATATCTACTTGAGAGCTACGTTGGCAACATACCAGCATACACATTAAAATTACTTCCTAGAGAGAAGAAATAGGGAATGCTTGTTGGCTGCAGAAGACTATGATCTTTTAAATGTCACACCAAAAAGCCTAGTTCTGTCATTTAATTTCTCACAAAAAGGTTAAATGATCCCAGTCAAGTATTTCCTTAGTATCTCCACTGCATTTCAGGTCCTGGAGCAGGAAGCAAAAAGCTTGGATTTCGAACAACCGCGGCAATTATTTTTGGTCGATTAGTCTTAGTTCCTCCTGCAGGGCTTGGCATCGTCACTTTAGCTGAGAAACTTGGCTTCCTTCCTGTTGGTGATAAAATGTTTAAGTTTGTACTGCTGCTCCAGCATTCAATGCCAACTTCTGTTCTCTCTGGTAAAGATCAAATTTATATCATATATTTAAATGACAAAAGTGACAAGATGCAAATTTTCATAAATAGTTAGCTCGACTTATCAGCTAAGTGAATTTTTGGGGCAAAGTTGTTACTGGAATTCCGTCCTTAGTTCACAGCCTCTGTTAACCTCAACATTTCTAACTTAAGGAGACTTGCTATCTGCTAAGCTTATCGAAGTTCACGCAATAATGAACCTTTTGGTTTTGGGGTATCAGAAACTTTGTTTTGAATTTTAGAAAGGATACTACACCCTTAGGCTGAATTGTTATGTAGCATTTATAAAGTTTATATATGTGATGTGATCCAAATGCGTCTTCAACTATTATAGTTGGTACCTGACAAGGCAATGCACTTTTGCAACAGGATAAAATCGAAATTTCTGATAGGAAACCGTACTTATGGACAACATTTTAAACAAATATTATCCACTGCACGCGATGCGTGCTTTACACAATGCATACCTGTGCGAAATTTAGACAATGCTATTAACACCTATGCTAATATGAATAAGTGTATGAAAACATTATTGCGGAAAGTGATAAGTCTAAAAATTACTTTCATCATCAAATTGTTCCATTTTTTTTACATTATCAATATATGAGGTGTCAACAGTGTAGAAAAGAAGCGTACACGACACATCAATATATGAGGTATACGGTGCAAAAAGAAGCGTACATGATTCAAAATTTAAGTCTGATTATTTTTATACCTAAAATACTTCCAAATAACCAACAGTGCGTGAAAGTGTTTTTTTTTGGGGGGAAATATTCTCCTCTCTTGTGCAACTTCAAAGATGACAAAAGAAAATCAAGAATGTGAAGATAACAAAAATCAAAGAAAAGTTACAATATGATCCTAAAACTATGTGTCACTATGCGTAGGACATTGCCACTTATCTGACAATGAAAAGGCAAGATAGGTATAAAAGTTTTAAGAGGGGCTAAATGACAACTAATGAATTTTGTTTTTTTAGCAATGCTTGTAATATAGATACAAAATATGATACCTGTTAAATTGGTCATCCACCAAAGAAACAATATAATAATCAAGATGCCTGATTAATCCAATTTCCTAGCCATCATAGGGAGGTGAGTCGTGGCCGCTGCTATGGCTTACGACGAAGGTGGAGAAGTTGTTTAAGGAGAGAAAGATTACAGTTCTTTTTTTGGATTTACCTTGAAATATGGTTTATTGGTAAACGTGGGGTGTGTTTTCTGTTTGGCATTTTCCAAATTTGCCCCTGTTTTTTAAATTTGGATGAGTAATAAGTTATTGGAAGTTGTGTACAAATATTAGGACATGTTTGGAATTTTTTTAAAGGGAGATTGGCATAGGGCTAGATCATCAAAATGTAGCTTTCCTTTAATAATAGTAAGTAATTGACGAATTGGGATATATCCAGAGCACCATCGCATGCATGTGTCCTGTACTTTATAAAAAACAACTTTTAGATAATGTCAAGACAAAAATCGATATGAAGAAGAATTGCAAAGAACTTTTGATATTTTTCTGTTTCCAAAGTTATTTCTGAGTGTTTTGAAAGTCAAATCTTAACCATATCAATTCATATATTGGTGGACTTGGTTGTAGGTGCTGTCGCAAATCTTAGAGGATGTGGCAAGGAATCAGCTGCTGTTCTGTTTTGGGTTCACATATTTGCAGTCTTTTCTATGTCTGCTTGGATTATTCTATACATTCGCATTCTTTTCTGAGCACTCACTTTTATCGGTAGGATCTTTGTTTCTTTCATTAGTTGTCAAGTTTTCGCCAATATCTTTCTCATTTATTCTACCCCATGCAGAAATCTAGTAAAGTGTCAGAATTGGTATCGTGCAGGTGGAGGCTACAAACAAAATGTTTGTGATGCTTGCTTCAATTAATTACATGATATACTGATGCAAGCATTCTATATTCCTATTATACGTTGGAACTCGGTGTACGTAGAGGATCATCCGGTTGTGTCCAGTGAAGAGGGAATCCCGTTGGAGGATCCAATTCGGATGAGCAAATGCTGAAGATGTTACTCGGAAGAAAATCCATTTCTTCTGATGTAACGTATGATTTTGGTTACTTATTTGGATTATATTAGGTTGCAATGTTTTAGATCACGTAGGCTTGTGTTCTTATTCCTGTATATGAAGAAAGAGAAAATAGGTAGACCAGGGTCATGGAGACTTCGTATTTAGGGTATTTCTTTCAGGTGCTGTATACAAGTTCCTCGCCAGTAAGATATTTGGTCAAGCAATTGCTATGTATATTGTGCATTCTGCAGTTTGAAAACATCAGTGCCTCGCATTTCATTGCACGCGTACTACGATCGGCATGTTTTAATAGTTTGGTATAGTTGGAGATGTACCTCGAAACTCTTGCTTATTTTTATCATCCTAAATATTTGTTTTTATTTGGTGTCTCAATTACTTTTTGTTTTGTTTTTTTTATTCAAAAGGCTCCAAAGAACAAATTAATTCAAAGTTGTCTAAAAAGAGCAACTGAGACCATATCGAAATATGAAGATTTGGTGTAAACGCAATATTTGAATCGGGAAAAGCAATATAAGGAATCAATGTAATAAATTAGTAGCTTTCAAATTAGTAATTTATAAGTTTCTACTTTCTCTTTATATAATATATATTCGCCGACTCAAGTTAGGCCATCTCTAACCGGCCTCTAAATCTTCAAAATCTTTAAATTTGGAGAGTGGAACCTCTCCAACCACTCTCCAAATTTGGAGATCTCTAAATTTCACCCTCTAAATTTGGAGGGTGAAGAGAAAATTTGGAGGGTCTCTCTAAAACACTATTCATGCTTCATTAATTATAATTTTGATACTTTTAACTATTTAATTTCTTAAAAATTATCACTTTGCCATCATTCTTAGTAATTTAAATTAAATTTTTAATTTCAAATAAATATAGTTAAAAAATTATTAATCTAATATTTGAAATTATTATATATTTGGAAAGGTGTCGTTGAGATCTTTAAAATAAAACTAAGATTAATTTATTTTAGTTTTATTATAAAATTAATAATTTTTAAATTAAATAAATAAGTATCAGACATGAAATTTTAAATACGAGGATCTATTTAACTTGCCCCATAAGAAAATACAAACATAAATTACAATATTTCAGATTTTATTTTTTTTAATATGTTGTATTGCATTATTAATATTGGGTTCATTTTAAAGCTCTCATCGATACCTTTATAATGTTATAATTTTTTCCCAAATAAATTATTAAAAATAAAATTATTAATGTAAACTATATCCAACATTATTAATTTATATAGCTTTTTTGATTAAAAAATAAATAAAAAGAAAACATTTGGAAAGTGTGGGTTAGAGATGCCCTCCAAATTTTAACCTCCAAATTAAAATATTTCTAGAATATTCCAATTTAGAGTGTGAAATTTGGAGGGCATGGAGATGCTTCCTTAAATCAAAAACAGCAGTTACAAGACACACTATCTGGAAATCAAAAACAGTGGAACCTCTTGCTGCTTCGAATTCGGATATCAACGTGAAAGATCCAACCCGACCCGGCCCAGTACAACAACGGCATTCCAGCTGTCAGTCGTGCACAGAATCCTAGATTGCTTCGATCCAAAGGAAACAAACTCGGCACTTTATCAGCGTTGATCCCATGCTACGCGGTTTATTTACCGTTAAATGCCAACTCATAAATATCCATCGACCTTTGAATTTGAGTCCTTTTGTTCTCAATTTCTTCATCAATCTCCCAAATTTGAAACCCTCTCAAAATTCCTCTCTCTCTCTCTCTCTGCAGCTATGGGCGGTTCTCACAGTCGCGAAGGAGACCTTGAGTCCGAGTCCGAAGAAGAGCAAGAAGAATCCGAACCCGAATCCGAAGAAGAAGAGCAAGAACCAAAAACCCAAACCCCACCAGCGTCGACCTCCTCCCTTGATTCAATCGACTCCAAGCTCAAAGCCCTAAACCTCAAATACTCCAAATCTCCTTCGAACCCTAACCCTAACGCCGTCAAGCTCTACCTCCACGTCGGCGGCAGCTCTCCCGGCGCCAAATGGATCCTTTCTGATAGGCTCACTACTTTCTCCTTCGCTCGATCTCAGTCTGAATGGGTTCTTAATGTCGGATCCAAGATTAGGGTTCGGGTTGGACCCGAGCTCCAGCTCAAACCGTTTCCGGATCACCTTCGATCCGATTTCGTCGCTGATGGTGTTTGGGCTCTGAAGTTTTTCACTAAGGAATCATTTGCTAGCTTTCAGTTGCAATATCAGAGCTGTTTGTTTGAAAATACTTATGGGTTTGAGGCAAATGATGAGAATAAAAATAGGGTTTTTGGAAAGGATTTTCAGGCTTGGGCGAAACCTGAAGTTGCTGATGATTCGATATGGGAGGATGCTGAGGAGAGCTTCGAGAAGCCTCCGGTGAAAGAAAGGCGAGATCTTTTGGAGGAATTCGAGGAGGCGGCGAATGAGGGGAGCAAGATTCAGAGCCTTGCATTAGGGGCTTTGGATAATAGTTTCTTAGTCGGGGATTCGAGTGTTCAGGTTGTTAGGAATTTCAGCCATGGAGTCCATGGGAAGGGTTTAAGTGTTAAATTCTCAGGCAGTGGTGGTCGTGGGAATTATGGGTTCTCGACCCCTAAGAAGGCTCTATTGATGAAGGCAGAGTCGAATATGTTGCTGATGAGCCCAGATAATCAGGAGAGGCTGGAGCATTCGACTGGAGTTCATCAGCTTGATGTTGAAACAGGGAAGATTGTGACAGAGTGGAAATTTGAGAAGGATGGGGCTGATATAACAATGAGGGATATTGCAAATGACAGTAAAGGGTCACAGTTGGATCCTTCAGAATCTACATTCTTGGGTTTGGATGATAGTAGGCTGTGTAGGTGGGATATGAGAGATAAGAGGGGAGTTGTTCAGAATATTGCAAGCTCCCCAGTATTAGAATGGACACAGGGGCATCAATTTTCCAGAGGTACAAACTTTCAGTGCTTCGCGTCGGCCGGTGATGGATCAATTGTAGTGGGCTCACTCGATGGGAAGATTCGACTATATTCGAAGAGTTCTATGAGGATGGCAAAGACTGCATTTCCAGGGCTTGGGTCGCCGATTACTCATGTGGATGTTACTTATGATGGGAAGTGGATACTGGGGACAACAGATACATATTTGATTCTTATAAGTACTGTTTTCAAGGATAAGGATGGGAGGGAGAAGACTGGATTTAGTGGGAGGATGGGGAATAGGATTGCAGCGCCGAGGATGTTGAAGCTTACTCCTCTTGATGCCCATTTGGCAGGGAAGGATAATAAGTTCCATGGTGGCCAGTTCTCATGGGTAAGTATTCATGTTATTTATTACTTAGTATTATTATGCGAAGGGCTTGCTTTATATAGAATATATAGTTTGCCTCATTAGAATTTGCATAATTATGCCTTTTTCATATCCTCTGATAAATTGGAGTAGTAAGTATATATTTAGCTAGTAAGTAGATAAGGATACTGTGGCATGAGTAAGAATATAATCTTACTGTCTTTATTGTCATACAAGTTTGCCATCAGTCAAAAAAAGAGAGATACTAATTAACGTTACTGTCCTTGTTTGGAGTAAGCTAAATCTTATACCAAGTGAAAATATACTGTATACAGCACTAAAAAATGTCACTATTACTCGTGTCAATTGGCAACATCCTGTTGTATGGAGGGATATTGCCATAATACAATAGCTCATGTAAATCTACATTATGAAATGTCTATGACATGTTTCCATTTCCAATAAATTAACATAAAATAAATAAATAAATAAATAAATGTATGAGTGTGTGTATGTATGTCTGTGTGTCTGTGAGTTTGAGTGCGCGTGGTTGGTTGGGTGGGTGTGCGTGCATGTGTGCTTGAGTGGGTGGGCGTGTACGTACGTACATGAATCTCCATCTGTATCTATTTCTTGTTTGACGGTATGCTAAATTTCAGTGGCTTTGACATAGTCTAAATCAAATTGATGCCTTTAGAAAGCTGTTTTTCTTCTTCGATCAAGAGTTTCCATTGTTTATAGCTGAAAAGAACCCAAAGATAATAGATTACAAGCATTGATTAACTATGCTTGTGATGGTCGTCTTTGCTAGTTAAGGGATCTCAATAATCTGACTTACAAACATGAACTTGTAAATTAGGTTACTCGTATCGTCTAAAGCCTAATCCCATGAGTTATAAGCTATTTTCTCGATCAAACTAACATTGTCAACTTTCATAGCATACAGTTGATTTTTGTTCAAGTGGCTTTGTACGAATACATGTTCCTGTTGGACATAGATGCACACCAAAAATTTCATGCTTCTACAGTCTTATTGTCAAGCTTGACGCATACTACAAATAAACATTTCACAAACCTTTGGCAACACTTGGTATCTCAATCTGCAATATATTGTCTCCTATAGCAGCAAGCTATTTCCTTCTGATAATCCTGTTGTAATGTTGTTGGATACCTAACAATTATGTTTATGATTATCTTGCAGGTCACAGAGAATGGTAAGCAAGAAAGGCACCTTGTGGCAACTGTGGGGAAATTCAGCATCATTTGGAACTTCCAGCAGGTGAAGAACAGCAAACACGAGTGCTACCGCAACCAGGAAGGATTGAAGACTTGCTACTGTTACAAAATCGTTCTCAGGGATGAATCTATTGTTGACAGCCGATTCATGCATGAGAAATTTGCTGTGAGTGATTCTCCAGAGGCTCCACTGGTTGTTGCAACTCCACAGAAAGTGAGCTCATTCAGCATATCAAATCGGCACTGACTTTGTGCGTATTTTATCCTCAAGAGTTTCTCCCTGCCTTTTGGTTTTCTGATTTTCCATTTTCATGTACATGTCTTATGTAAATTTCTGTGCATTTTAAGACGAGATAATGATGTTGATTGATTTGATTGTGGTGTTTATAGTTTGATTATAGTTGTTGATTGTGAATAATGAAGTTTGTACGAAAAAATATATATAGAGTGAACTATTTCTGTAGACACTTTGACGTCTGAGCTGATTCATAGGCCCTTGAGTTTCCTAGAATTTTTGGTGATATAAAATTTCAGTATCGGCATCAACAAGGACATCAAGGTTTAGGCTTTATTTATACGGTGCTTTAAAGTGGTGATGAAGGTAGAAATTTGAAGGGGTTTAGGCTTTATTTATACGGTGCTTTAAAGTGGTGATGAAGGTAGAAATTTGAAGGGGATTTCGTGCTCCACTTTAAGTCAAAACCCAAAACCTCAAGTATGGAATTCAGTAATAATAGAATTAATGCAACAGCTATAAAACAAATTCTGAATATTGTCGGGTTACAGAGCTGGGTATAGATCAACTTCATTATTCTGTTAACTCTGGCAGCAAGTTTCTTTCCTTTCTTGATTGCTTGAAAATCGTTTAAGCAATGATTGCAGGATCTTGTCCTTTGCCACAGATTTATTTACTAATAATAGATATGAGTATGCAGTTAACATCTACTATCTAGATACCAAATTTTGGTAGTATGGTTCATGTACATCTTAGTAGGGAGGTAGAAGAAATTGTCGAAGTGGTAGGCTACTTCACATGATAATTACATAGTGACACTCAATGTTCAGGATATTGCACATTGATATTGCACATGCTGAGTATGGGTACTTGATATTAGATCACATTGAATACATATTAAGGCCGTCACACTTATCCAAAATAGAAAGGTAACAGTGAAATGAGACAAGTGCAATAGGATGTGTTAAAATAAGCCGGCTTCAGATGAGGACTAGGCATTAAAAGATCAATGTAAAAGGGAATTTCCTCTGACATGGAAAGTTTAAAAATCACGGAAGAAGATACAATGAAGCTAGGTTCTGAAGAAAACTTCCAGGGAACCTGAAAGGAGTCGAGGTGTTATATATGTAAGTTACAGCTAAAAAGGATGAATCTTTGTGAGGAAGGGCATGCTATCTTATTCAAAATGATGAAGTAAGGCCGAGCTGAACATTCAATGAGTAGGTAGAGCTGGCAACTTGGGTCTTTGTTTTTTAAGATTCTTGGTATGATCTTGTTGCACTAATGACTGAACATTTGTAAGGTTGAGACATGGCTCTTTTTGATGTCCAAAACAGAGGTGATAGGTTGGAAGTCATTAGTCGACCTGATGATAATCAATCAATTAATGTAGCTGCCTGTATATAAAAAAACACATTTCTTGTCATCATGTTCATTTGCCGTCCCTGGACTTACCTTGCTAGGAAAGAAATGTGGTATTAGTGAAACAGGACATTAGAACTTAATTAGAATCATGCTTTCTCAGATAAGATGGGCAGAAAGAAAACAGGAAGGAAAAAAAAACTTCATAAATTGAATTAATTTTTTTACCATGACGCGGTGAATTGCCCATAACTATTTTTTTTCTTATTATCCAAAAAAGTTGTAGGATGAATTAAGACCTCAAGACTTTCACGACCCATCTCAGTTACATAAACTCGCGGTTGGATCAACAAGCACAGCTGGAACATCAACCAAGAGTTTGGATAATAAGTATCAAAATTCATATGAAATAAAAAAAATATGAGATTGTCCCATGTATTCTCTTGGGTGAATGATTTTCTTTACACTTGACATCGGAGTTGATTCTTAAGTGGTGGTATAAATTTTCAGGGTTAGAAAAGCATCAAGGCAAAGATAATATTTACGCCTTATTTATATGGTGCTTTAAAGTTGTAGGATGAATTAAGACCTCAGACTTTGTTTAAGCAGTGACCCAAGCCTCGCTTGAGATTTCTCCACTATTTCCACTTGCAAAACCGCAAGCACTTGCAACCCGCAAGCAAACAGTACAACCTTGACAGTCTTCAATTGCCAATGCCACAATAATCTCTTCTTTCAAGAGATTATCAAACTGAAACAAAATGGTACAACTCTTTCTCTTCCTATAAGCCTTGATGTGTAGATGTGAGTGAATTACAATAGGCTATAGGAATGGTTTTTGTTCTAGAGTAATGGAATTTTAATCAAGAACAAAACTGAAAATTGACACTCAGTTTTTCTCTTCAACAATGGAATTAAGAACTCAAGAAAACTCAAGTTTATGGAAAGGAATGTTAAAATTTAATTTCAGAACTTAACACCTATTTATAGACATAGGTTTAGTTCAAAATATTTCAAAAATAACTGCAAAAACGTTCATAAAAACGTTCATGTTAATTTGAAAATATGACTGTTAGAAGTACTGTATGGTCGACCAGATTGAGGCCTGGTCGACCAGATAGGCTTCCTGGAACTTGTCTGGTCGACCAAATTCAGTCCTGGTCGACCAGACAGACTTCTTGGAAATTCTGTCCGAGTCTGTACTGAAGCCTCTGGTCGACCAGGTCCATATTTGGTCGACCAGACAGATTTTTCTGAATCTCTGTTTCTGGTTATTATATCTGGTCGACCAGACATTTCTTTGGTCGGCCAGAAACTATGTTATACATATTTTCGATAGATTAAAATGTTATTCATTCGTTAATTAGACTTAGGATTATACTTAGAATATTTTCTATGATCTTCTAAGTAGTGTGTGTTGTGTGTGTGATCAAGGCTTATACAAAGATTCTAAAAGAAAAGATAAAATTATATCACTCTTGTAAATTATATTTTCTTCTTGAAGCGCGAAGTGACTTGATTAACTTCATCTTTTGATCTTTGAAATCTTGTCTTTGAAATAGCCTTAATAACTTGATTGTTGCTTTGAGATGTATATCTTGAATCTGCAGTAAAATATGTTAGATAAACAATGATTTGTTATCATCAAAATACAAGAGATATTGTAACATCAACCATGTTCCCAACAATCTCCTCCTTTTTGATGATGACAAATAATATTGAAAAACTTTAATTAAACATTCTTACTCCCCCTGCAACAATACATACATGTTAATTTAACACACACAAAAAAATAGCACTTATTAGTAATCCTAATATTGTATAACAATGCATACATGTCAATATTCAATATTGCAATAGTTGTCAATATTTCAATATTCTAATATATCTCCCCCTTTGTCATTAACAAAAAGAAGAATAGAAAGGGAGATAATAATAAATAATGAAACAATTAATACATTTCTTCAATACAACCTAATATTTCTTCAACATGGCCTAAAACTTCAAATAAATCTTCAAGATTATGCACATAGTCCATTACATCTCCCATCCAAATAGGAAGACATAAGCTTGCAATGAAAATTAAGTTTTCTATGGGAGTCATATTGAATGTATTGTGTTGTTTAAGAAGAAATATTTCTCTATTTATAACCATGGAAGTAGTTATTAGAGATTAACCATCAAGTAGTTATTTAAGAATTGGTTAGAATAACTAAAATATGAGTTCAAAAAATTATGAAATATTTTTCTTATGTTAACCAAGATAAATGACAAGAATATTTGCTAAAAAAATCTTGGGTTTCCAATATGCGTGTTTGATTTGTAGTGAGAGTCTCAAATTGACTAGTAATTCCGGCATAGTCAAAAGATTGCACATGTGTTTGCTCTTGAGGTTGAGCTTGTGCTTCTTCTTCATCTTCATTGTTATCATCATCTTCACCAACTTCTTCTTCTTCCACATCCATGTTGTGCTCATTCGGATTGTGAGGAATCTTCATTCTTGCTAAAGCGGCTCGATTGAAGGGAACCGAGTCACTCACTATATCCGACTCCATATCGATGGGAACGTCAAGGGCTTTGAAAATATGTGTAAGAACACATCCATGATCAAGAGTAGCAGAAACCTTTTTGAGGAAGTTGTTGTAAATAACAAGTGCCCAATTAACTTGAATATCTCCCATGACGGCATAAATGAATTTGGCTAGATCAAGAGAGATATAAGTAAAAGAACCCGACTTTTGGAGGATATTGTGAGAGAGAATCCTACCAATTAGTCTAGGAAGAGGGCGAAGAACTCTATTGTAGATAGGAGGATGAAGATTTTGACCATCTTCTAGCATAGAAGCAAGAATTGTAGGATCGGTCATCTCGATTTCACTCAAAGTTGCACCGGTATTGGGTACATTGAGTATTTCAGAAATCCTCTTAGGAGTGAGCTTAATGGGTACATTCTTCACCATAGACTTGAGATAACTAGACTTGAAACTCATATTTGTATAGAACAATCTAACAAGAAAAGGATAGCAAGGAACAACATTTCTTATGGAGAAAAGTTCAAACAACCCCGTATTTTTGAAAAGATTTTCTAAAGGATAGTGCTCAAAATCGGCAAGCCCGTATTTTTGAAAAGACGTTCTAAAGGATAGTGCTCAAAATCGGGAAAGTTGATAAAACGCTCTTGATGAACATCTTGACTTGAGAACTTTATAAAATCCTTTGCTAAAGTAGGATTGTTGAGATATTGTTGATAAGAAACATCCGGATCTATGGTGGATCTTGCTCTTTTGGATTTGGAAGAGGATGGTCTTTTAGAAGTAGACATGATACCAAGAGAACTTTTCAACTTCTTGAAATGTAGAGAGGTAAGGTGTGAAGAAGAATGAGATGAATGGAAGACTATTTATAGAGAGAAGTATGAGGGTTTTCAATGGTCAAAGATCCATTCAATGGGTTGTGTACCCAATGAGTCAAAGATTCATTCAATGGGTTGTGTACCCAATGAGTCAAAGATGCTTTGAATGTAGTCTCCAAGGAGTCATGGGCTGATGAGAATAGTAAAAGTAGTCAAAGTGTACTAAAGACTTGATGTCATAACACATAAAAATCCAATCTGGGCATAACTGCTGCTGTCTGGTCGACCAAACCAGGTCCTGGTCGACCAGATAGTGACATATCCGTTTACTGTCCAGTATCAACATGTCTGGTCGACCAGGTCCAAATATGGTCGACCAGACAGTGAATTACACAACAATTTGTGTAAAACTTCTGGTTTAACCCTAGTATTTTGTTTATACAAATAATACACATATATATCAATTAATTTCATTCACACATACATAGTAACACACATATATATCAATTAATGTCG